CTGATCAAATTCAGACAAACTTCCTCCTCCTCCCCCAGAAAAAAAGCTAATTTCTTTATCTGGAATCTGCTAGACTACATCTAAGTTATAAAGAAACCACTGAGTAAAATAATTTATTTTGTCCAGAATACAATTTGCTGAACTCAAACACCAATGCGTTCTTGCATCAAACTAAAATCACATGTTTTTCCCACTTAACTTTCCCAAGACTACGGAAAAAAGAAAATCCTTTATAACAGCAACTTCTGTTGAGATCCATGAATGACTACATGCAGAAAGTGGCAAAATTTCTAAATTTTTCTAATTTCCTAAATCTTCCAAATACTCCTTAGAGAAGGTAAGATTATTCAGATAACTTTGGTATGACATTCCAAAATATTAATGTTTTTTTCTAAATCAAACCCCAGATTCACATCATTGTTTAAAATACACTGAAATTTTAAATTATGCCAGATGCAAAACGATGGTGAAGACTTTTGATTTTTAATGAAGTATGTACTTCTGTGTCAGTAGAGACATCAATACAGCCTTTGTAATAGATAACAACTCAAATAAGATTCACCAACAAGAAGCAAATGGCAACCTTCTCTACTTAATACATTACTTGACTGTTTGCCTGCAGATTTACTTTCAGGTGATAATACAAACATGCTTAGTATTAATAATAAAATGGTTTAACATTATCACTTTTTTTTTAACCTCCCCCTCAATTAATTCATGTCCATATAGCCAAAGGACTAACCTAAGGAAATGGTCGTCTCAATTTTTTTCAAAATGGCCATTGATTTTTGGGCGCCCTGCAACTAAAGATAAAATGGAAGTGCTCGGCATCTCCACACAGGCCCTAGTGAACGTAATTTCTCATGATGTAGCATCTTCTAGAGTAACTTATTTCAAATAAAACGTAGTACAAATGACAACAATTCTGACCTCTGATCCAAGTTAAATTCTGACCTCTGATTTTGGTTTATGATAATGATTCTACAAGGTGCAGGTTAACAGGGAGACCCACAGCATTTAAGTTGGATATACATTTGAGAGCTCTCAAATTCTGTGAATCATTCTGTTTCTTAAAAAGTTCGCTACACTCTTGACACCTCGATTAAATGACGTTACTCTACCTTGCCTTTCTTCCACTATTATTAGCCCAATAATACCTATATAAATGTTTATACTAGAATAGCTTCTTCCATCATATGGACTGAAACAAATACACAAGTATAAAGCACAAAGACTGTATGGGGGTTTATAATGGTAGTGCCAGAAAACAAACAGAAGTAAAAAAAAACATCAAACAAGTATACTGGTAAGATATTTTAAAAGGTAGATTGGTCCTTATCAGCAAATAACAGGATTAGACTCTCTTTTCTAGCTGTAGTCAACAGACAACACTGGTCTTTATCTAACCTAAGTACAGGAAAAACTTCACAGAAGTCAAGCAATTAATAGCTGACTTCAAATATGAGTAAACTGTATTAGCAAAGTTCAGAGGAATTCAATTTTACATTTAATCCAGACTAATTAATCCAACTCTCATTACCATTAGCAAATTACGGTATAAAGCTTTTGCTTACAAAAAGATAAATTAGTTCCTTTAGACTATGAAGGAAAATCATCCATCATAGGAAAGGGAGCTGCAGACTTAATAAAGCCTATTCTGTTAAAAGATAACATTAAAATGTGCTTGCTGCAACATGGATATCTCCTTCTAGGAGAAAAGCTTCCCACATTGCAGAGCTGAGTTTCCATCCTTGTGAGCAGACTGATAGTTAATCTGATTCATTTTGTCCTATTCTGGGCTTCATATCTGTTTTCACCCTTATGCTCCAGTCCTGCTGGAATGAGAACAGCTGTGAATGGGCACATTACTATCAGCACATTCTTTGGAGGATCTGTACGTGGGGTCTGATAGCAGCCTAAATAAGTCTGCTCCTATTCTGAAGAAAGGAAAAACGACAATTTCATAAATCTTCTGTCAGTATTTAGCATCTTGTTTTCAGCAACATTTTGCATCACCTGCCTCTGAATTCCATCTTCTTCATTCCACAGAAATATATTCACAAGGGAATGCAAGCTGTAGCTTAAATTAAATTAGGTCATTGCATTTTTTTTTCAATATACGACTTTAGATTTTATGCAGAGATTAAACTGTATTAACGCTTCTGAAATCACATCATGTGCAGTAAAAACAAAATAGTCTCTTCTCTGTTCTCTTCCTGTTCCAGGCTCTAGCTTGCTGTATTCCAAAAAAGGTTAAAGTTCAGAAGGACAAGGCAAAAATGATTTTAAGCTGCCTTAATCTCCCTCCAGGCTTAGACACCCAAGCAGAAGTCATCTTTGCTTTGAACTACATTTCCAAGTTACCTACAGGCTGCTTTGCACCTTAAGAAAGCACTGAGCTAAGAACTGTTTACCCTCTGGTCCCTTATCCAACATAAGAATTCATATAAAGCTGTAGAAAGCGACTAGTGCACTGGGTCTATGCACATCAAATCCTGAAAAAATGGGAATTCCTATAAATAACATTTGAACAACTTATGTCTTCTGTACATAATATAACAGCAAAGGAATAGGTAAATTGGAATCTACCATTTTATTTTGACCCTTGCCAAGCAATTTTCTGATAAAAGTTTCCATCCAAAAATTCAATTCCTATCTAGAAAGAGAATGGGGAATATAAACGGCAGGATCACAAAGAAAAAGTCACAGTTAAAAATAAGCTGAAACAAAATGACAAACAAAAGTTGTATTTTTCATGGGTTGTAACTGACAGAGACACCAGTGTGTTTATTTAGGATGCACTCTAGTGGACACATATATAACAAAATCAAGCAAAGATACAAATGTTATGAAAAGAGAAAATGCAAGCCACATATTAGAAGCAGTAATTAGAATTATTTACTAGCATGTTTTAAAATACTGTCTTACAACTTGAACATATTTCCTAATTAAATATGAAGGCTGTATGAAGGCTTAAATTTTCATAGTCAACATGATTGGACATAAAATGTAAATGGACACAAGTTACTTATCAATTTTTGAAAATTTTAGTCTAAATAACAAGATTCAGCTATACATACTGGCTCAAAAGAGAAACTCCATCTATTTATCCAGTTACTCCATCTCTTTGAGATTGGCAGAAGAAGCTGCTGTGCATACAGTGTTAATACGTGTAATTAGAACTTTAGTATCTTAAAATGCAGCCTTAAAATGATACTATTTTAACTGTAACTAATAAATATAATTATAAACTGTGACAAAATCAGTTTTACTGGAATATCAACCATAAAGGCTATCTCTCATTCCAGAGAAAAGGTTCTTGACTGTCATAGAAATTGCAAACCTATACTGACGCAGAATAATGTAGATAGCAAAGCCTGACCACCTATTCACAAAAGTAGTTCCATTTTTCATTACTTGAAAAGTTACACAAACATTTCTAATTATTCATGCCTAGAAAGTGACATTTTTCTCTTTTGCTTTTAAAGATGTTCATAAAAGATGTGCCAATTAACACCATCCAAAAAGCAATATGGCAATAAAGAGGGCAACAGGATTTTTTTTAATAACTGTACTTTATTATTTTTGAGGGAAAAGTAATATATTACTATACTAGAAATCAGTACTGCTTACCTTTTTAAAAATTGATAGGATTATGCCTAGTATGAGCTACATGAACAGAACAAGTTATTCAGAGCAGGAAAATATTTATTACATGATTGACCTTTGCCTGTTGGGTATATAGATATTTTTAACAGTTTGCCAAAGACAGCAAAACCCTTAAAGCTAGCTATAATGTAAAGAAATTAGAGTGAAATTATCCCAAAAATCTCTTTCATCTGAAAACTGAAGAATGCAGTGAATGCACTAACTATGCCCTGAATTTGTAATGAATAGCATTTTCATTATACGATATTAGCAATGACTTAATGTTAATTGTCCAACTAACCTGTATTATTAGAAGACACTGAGATGCAAAGGCACGTTTTAGCCAAGAAGCCTAGGATTTTTTAAGGCTGGTGTCTTTTCCATTTATAATGAACAGACACGGAACATTCTTGACAGCCTGTACCAAGATATCGGTGATTACAGAAATTTGTTCTTATAAAAATTAATGCAATCTTTAAGGATTATAAAACTTATTTTTATAGATAAATATGGATCAAGCTAAATATTCTTCAGATTTTTTAGAAGTGAAGCTTTGAGAACTAAAAATGGTATTTAGTAAAGACAACACAGATGTAATTTATTGATTTGCAAATTTAAGACAAATGCAGGAAAGACTACTTTAAGACTTGACTAATCAAAACTGATATGCAGACACTTGCAGCTCACCTAATATCAGGTTATTATAAAGCCTAGAGCAAACACCTAGAGTTACAAAAAGCACCTCATGATTTCTAAGACAGACAAGATCTTTTAGTGTATCTGTCTACTGAGTCACATAAAGTTTAATTTATCTCTTCCAGATAAATTGGAAAATCTTCTGATTTGATTTTTGCATCTGGTTTGATGTGCAGAACTCCATCTTCTAATCTAACCTAATGTCTCCATCTTCTAATCTATAGAGCATTCCCTCTTTCTATCAGAAACCATTCAAATTCTTGGAAAATCCTTTTTCAGTAATCTTTTATTCTTTTAATATTGATTCAAATTATCATATTGTAGCCTCTACTCCAAAATAATTTTGACATATTAATTGTATCTATAATTATTAAGTTGTTACACTTCAAGAATCAATGGGCAATAAGTAGAAAATATACGTACTGCTTTCATTTCAATTGCAGTTTTCTTCCTCTGAGTCAGCCACACTAGCTACAATGGTTTAAGAATAAAAAGGAAGCATCACATGCCAGAATTAACAGACTTTATGCAAGCACCCTGAAAGCACAGAAACTGAAACAACAGGTATATAAATCATTTCTATATATAAAATACATAAATTAAGACACTACACTTCAGGATCAGCCAGTAATGAGTAGAAAATATATTTACTGCTTTCAGATCAGTTGGGAACTTTCTTGTTCTGATTCTGCCGTGAGATCTGTTATACTCTAAAACCAAAAAAAGAAATTCTGTCAATTGCCAGCATTAACTGAACTTTGTAAAAAGAAAAAAAGAGGAAAAAAGAAAGAGAAAAACCACACATGACAGACAAGTTGGTATTCATCAATATAATTATGTAGTCTTCCATTCAGTGAAATACGATGAAGTTCATCAACAGACTTTATAATAAAATTCAGTGAGTCTGGATAGAGTATTATGATTCTGAGAACAGAACAGTTTCAATAGTACAAGTCCGTATACTTTAATTTTATTGGTCTGTTCTTAATTTTTAGTTTAATTCAACAAATGTATTACTGTAAAACCTGAAATAACATCACCGAAGGCCTATGTAATCTAACTTTAAATGACTTTTGGCATGAAAAATTGGAAGATGGCACATAAAAGGAGAAGCAGATAAGTTTAGTACTCATTTTCACTTCTGGTTTTGCAATTCACTTATTTAAGAACACATAAAATATGCCTGAAGCCTCAAGAATACTTTTTAATATGTAATTATCAGAAAACTATAAAAACTGGGGCTATAAGAGACCTTGAGAATTCATCTGATTTACCTTAGTGAAAAAAACAGCTGTAAAAACCTGACCCTAAGAATAGCCATAAGTATGTTCATAACTATATTTAGAGAACACTTATAAACCAGGCTGTTATTAAAGTAACCTTAAGCATAAAGCATATTAATATCACAATATAAATTCTGAGCTAGAATTAAACTACTGATACCAGAAATTAAGTGAGCAAATAATTAAGGCTAATAAAGGAAAAAGGGTTCTGATAATGATGTATTAAAACTAGTTTATCAAAATCTCAAGTCATACCACTTGGAATACTCTAACTGGAAAAAGTCAGATATCAATATCTGTATGACCAGTGAATACTCATAAAGCTGAATGATTTTGCAGGAGTTGGCAGTATCTGTTAAATGTACTGCCATGCCTTATAATAAATGAAGGCTGATTCATGGCCCCTCATTTCCCTGGACTGTCAAGTATAAAAGGAATGAGAAAAAAAAAAAAAAAAACAACAAAATGAAACACCTGGGCATAGAAGATGTCTGAGGATCACAATTATGGAGCCATAGCTGCAGTACTGAAAGCAGTACATTCATGTTGGCACAGGGCTCAGATAACCTGATTCTCAGCAGGTCCTAGCCTTTAGTGAGCACTGTGTGTCCTTAGTATCTGGTCTTCTATGTTAAATGTTTGCTCAGATATCTCTGCAAGAGTGCATTCTGCTGCACAAAAAATATACTTCACACCAACCAGAAAAATATAAATAACTTAAATCACTCAAAAACGAGTCATCTTTTGTGATTTAGTACATGTTGTATACAACTATCTGTTCACATGGCGAAGGAAGGCTGCCTCCTCTCTGAGGATATTTATACTTTCATTTTTAACATATCTGAATACAAAAGGGCATTTTAAATCTTGAAGATCCGGTCAGCCAACACCACACAGTCTTTTAGAAGGGCTTAATTTGTACCAGAGAACAGGCTAAGGATAATTTGGAGGTTGTGGCCAAAATACCATCCCTTAAAACCATAGAAGAGAAACAGCACAGTCTTAACTGCAACAGTTTTAACCTTTGATATGCCAGCACAGAAAAGCAAATCTGTAAGAATCAATCATTTATAATCTCCCTGTTCTTTCTAAAAACTTACCTCAAACTGTCCATCCTCATCTAGCTCCTCAACTCTGGTCAAATTAGGCGCTCCAGGTCTATCTGTAAGTTCAGCTATCGTCTTTTCATTTTCCTATAGTAATGAAAACCAGTTTTCAGTTAAAAGTATTCCATGTCATGAATAATTATCTATAGACAATATTTCAGATGTGTTAAAATGACATTATGTATTAATATAAAGACAATACTTTAGATGTGTGCTATACAAATGTGTTAGTATGCCAATATGGCTTTGTATGCTTGTTAAAGACTATTTTTATCAGTATTTTTAAATAACAGGAACCTTCAGTTAAATTTCTACATATTAATTTTTCCTGTTAGTTTCATATTGTCATTTTTCTACAATTATGCTCTGTCAGTATTTTAACAGAGTGCTCTAAAAATGTACACATCTCTAAAATATGACGTGCTCCACATAAATTTAAGAGATATTCACATTTAAAAGCTTTATCGAGATAAACATGCCAGTTATCAGTGCATGTTTTTACTGAAATAGCATTAAAAGACTATACATTTACATGGACATCTGTATACGCATTCTTCTGTTAGTATAAATTCCTGTGCACCAGGAGGATTTCAGAATCAAGAGGCATCCCAACTCCAAACCATAGTTCTTTTCCAGATAGAGCAAATGGACTTTGCGCTGACACGCAGTAAAACATGACTGTCTAGACACTTAAATTAGACATGCTTAAGTTATAATACTTTCTTATAAATACTGTCAAGGAATGTGAAAGCATCAACTAAGCTGACCTTATGCTAAATTTTGCAATAAATTTATGCTCTGTTCTGAACATAAACTAAATAAACCTAATTGAACAGACCAAAATTCAAGCATAAAACCCAGACTGGAAGCAAGGTGTTGGACATTCTTTCCCCATTTTCACAACTTTTTTTAAAAAAATTATGTGTTAGTTCAACACCCATGGGCTTCTGCCTTGTGTTTTGTATTTAGCGCCTGCATCTGGAAAAGACAGCTGATTAACAGTGTTTTCAGACCACTGACTAAGCTTTGGCTTAAACCTCTTGATCTTTCTGCTGCAACAGCATTTTGTCTTCTTCATTCTGCAGTTCCAGCTCCTGACATTCTTGTTCCAACTGAGCCTGCAGTCAGTTTAAGACAGGACAAATTAGAAGGAAAAAAATCCAACATTCATCTTCCCCACCCCATTGCTTACAATGGATTTCATGATTGAAATCTTAAATAAAACAAAAAAGGAAGCATAAAACATAACTGCAATGTTAATAACATAAAGCTCTTTCAGTATCATCTGACTCAACATTTTCATAGGTTTTAGACTCTCATGGATAGAAAGGCTTTACTACCAAGAGGAAGAAGAAATAGACAACTGAAGTTAGTGTACACACTTAAGATACTGTCTCATTCCTCATGCTCTTTATCAGTCTGCATGCATTATCTCCTATACTTTGGATTAAGCTCTTTGGTACTTCCTGTAGTATCTAGCACTGATAGATAAATCCATAGAATCAAATCTATAGAAAAGATTGGCAAGCAATGCCATTAACATTAATCACCTTCATCATCAACCTTTAAAATTTCCAATGGGAAATATCTAATACAAAGTGTTTACTATTTGTGAGCCCAAGTCCTGTTGCATCAAAACTTCAGAAACTACATAATCTAAGTGTTCACATTCAATTACACTAGGGCCTAGAGAATACGGTTTTCTGTAGCATTTTGCAAGCAGCTACTACAAACGTTGCCATGTTGTAGTAACTAGTTTTCACATTCCTTTTTGGTACATATAATCAAACAATGCCTGAGTACGTGACTATAGCCAAAATTGTAAGTTAGGTTAAAAAATGTGTCTCATGTGAGTGTTGTTCAACATCTTTCCCTTAGTTCACATGAAATAATTTATTTAATTCTCTGTGAATTATCTCTAGACACACTCTCATATTCTTGATTCCATTTACTATTTTAAATGACTCATGAAATCCTTAAGCAGATAACTTGGTCTGCAAATTAGTAAATTCCAAATGTAAAAAATGCAAGTGAAATAGAATGAATGCACCTTACACTAGAACCGGGCTTAACAAGATCAGCACAGATTTAAAATTACACTTTTGATTTTAACAGCATGAAAGTCAGACACACAAAAATATCCAGTCAGACAACATCAACATTACCACAGCAACAGAGGCTGTTACATGTGTGGTCAAATTCACATGACTCCGTTATAAAGGACAGCTAGAAACACAGATGTTATCTTTATTTCTCATATTTCAAGTGCACATCGTATGGGACTCAAATTGCTTTATGCCAACAGAAAGTTCAGGTAGCTAAGGAAAGAAAAAGGCATCTCATTGGATCAGGCTATAAATACTGCTTAAGTATGCAGTCTTCTTTCACTGATTTCCAACCATTTTCAGGACTCCATAATTGTGTATACATTTTCTTTACCTTTTTTTGTCTTACTGATATTACATTGAAGTAGGTTGAGACACTAATTGGTTATTACTCCCAGGTCTCCTAGCAGGCCTGTCAAAAATTTTTGCAAAAATTTCTAGCTCTATTTGCACCAGCTCTTGTTCATAATTAACTACAGAAGACAGTCTACTTATTTTAAGTTACTTCTCATGCAAGTCTTAAATTGCTTGCTTTTTGCCTTTGGATCCTTCATTTTTTTTAAATAACATTTTACCACATAGTATGTGAGTTTTCCTTCCCACGTGCTGACTAATCATTTTGGTTATTATTTAGAAAAGTGAGATTAAAATACTTGTTTTACGGTACCTTCTATCAAAATCATTATACAGAGATTAGAAGCACACAGAGCACTAAAAGATGCCACAGCATCATACACTATTTATAATTATCTACTGTTAAGTATTATTAACCTGACGTTGTTCTTCAAGTTTCTGCTGGATCATTAGCTCTTCTTCCTTCATTTTTCTTAACATTTCGAGTTCTACCAGGGCTGCCTCCCGTTCTTGTTCCAGCTCAATCCTCTCCAACATTCTCTATTTCAGAGATAACACAGAATCAATTAAAAAAATAGAGAGACTAAATATTGTGAATTATATTGTCATGATTTTTTTCACCCAAGATGGATCCACCTTTTTTTCTTCATCTAAGATTCTTCTGTAGTTGTAAATCCAATGTGCCAGATACTCTATTGGATCTGCTGGCCGATGCTCTACAACCTCTGCCAGTCCCTTTTTCAAGCAACTTCCCAGGCATCTCTTCAGATACTGAGACTCCATTCACATCTACTAACCACAAGCAGACAGACATTAGCCATCAATGTCAGAATTAAATTAGGGTTTTGAAGAATTATTGCCTCAGGCACCAAATACTAGATATGACATTACTCTTTTTATTAACCTGGCAATTAATAGAAGAAAGTTATTTAAATTTAATATCGGTTTAGTTCTTAAAAGCTCCAGTGATAGATCAGTTATACCAAGCACTGCAGAAAAAAAATGCTCAAAACCCACCCTTACTGTTTAGGCACGTGTAATTCGAACATGCTTGGAAATATGCTGGTAATTCCAGGTCAGCATGACAGCAAAAAAACTCAAAACCACAACAGGACATAGAAAACTTCTATACAGATGTCTGAAAAACAGCAAAGTAGTTCTGTGAAAGATTAAAGACAGATTTTAGTTTGAACTAACAAAGCTATCTTTAGGATATGTATGCAAGACCACGGCCTGAAGCAATCACTCTATACAGTTATGAAAGGAACGCATCCTTGCACACACAAGGTTTAACTGGCCCTCTGCCAGTAAGCACGTAACATACATGAAACCCCATTTCTGCCATGCTAGAACACCCTTCGTTTGCTGTCAAGGCGACTGAAGGCGTCCGGCGCAGCCCGGGCGCGGAGGAGGCAGCGGACCCCTCGCTAGGCGCCGCGCCCGCCGCGCGGCGGGTCCGGTCCCCCGGG